AGTCCTATGACCACAAAATATGGAAAATATAGACATGTCATTTTCATATTTTGTCCTGAAAAATTCATCTTATTAGCTCCCCTTCTTTATATCTTATGATTCCAATGTGATAAAATCGTCTTTCTGACATTTTTTTTAAAAAAACACTAAGTTAACAAAATTTCTATAATACTTGCAGAAATGCATTATGAAAGCAAAGTTTATTCAAAAGGTGTTTTGATCACTTACAATTTAAATTATATTGCACTAGATACCAAGGGAAATCAGAAGAGATATGACATGTCTGGTCCTTGCCCTCAAGGAGACTATAACCCAGTTAGAAAGGGACGATATGTGCATAAGAGAGTATATGATTGAGTGTCAAAGAGGTGGATTAATATTAAATGTTTAGGAATCAGATGGAAATGGAAGTAATTAAGACAGGAGCAGGAGTGGAGGCCTCATGGAGTAGGTCAATTGTAAAGAACAATGGAGAGACTCATGAAAGGGTGGCTCTGGCAAGTGGGACAACAAGAACCTGTGTGTGGAATCAGGATAGGCCTGACAGGTTTGGTGGGAAATGAAGAGTAGGTTCTCCAGGGCTCCCAGAGGAAAACAGAAACAGGAAGACGGCATGCTCAATTGAAACTTACGAAGAAGAAAGTGTCTCAAGAAGCCTGTGTTTATAACCCCCAAATAGAATTCCCAGTTATATAATAAAGCCTAGCATTAATAATCCATTCATATTATCTAAGTGGTGGATTTTCTCCTAAACAAAAATAACAAGATAGGTAAGTACCAGAAGGTACTGTTTTATTTAGACTCGTGTTCCATGAGTATGTTCAAAATTTGGAGCCCTTATTCATATAACTGGATGAAAATATGCTTCTAAGAAACACATAATGGTCATAGCATATTCTAGTACACTCTGAGAATGTGGACTCTTTTAACCAGAGTGTTAACAAACCTGGACTCTGCATGACAAAGACATCTTATAAAACTCAAAACTAGAAACTATTTTGAGAGAGCATTGTAATTTTGGGGCAATTTAACCACACTATAGGGTTTGGTGGGATATCACAAAATGTTAACTTAAAATTTAAGTATATTTCTTATCCTTAACTTAATAATTAAAT